GCTGATGTAGTCATATTTTGTCTTCGCATCCTCATCTTGCATCAGGCTCATCTGTTGTCGAACTGCCGCCTCCGGTTGTCTCTCCAGCTCTACTGGCACCGTCAGATGAACCGGGCCTCCCTCCGTGGTTGCTTGGTGCAACCGTCGAAGCACAGGCATCTCCTGGTCCAGCAGCATATCCACCTCAGAGGTCCAGAGTCCACTCATCTTGGCCAAGGAGTTGAAGATGCTGTCCAGCAGCCATTCGCACAGTCCCTGAGGCCATGCCGCAGCCAACTCCGATCTCCGCTTTGTCTCCCACTTCTTTTCTATCTTCACTCTCACGGACCCTTCAATCACTTGATGTTCATCCGGATGATGAAGGCACACTATCTCCTGCCATGCCAACACCGAGGGGTGATTTCCTTGGAATGCCGTGGGCTTCTTGTGAGGTTGATGATTCACTCGATCTCGTAGGCCCAACATGCACTGGTCCACAAACTTGGTGTACACTTGTTTGCGCCTATGCATTTGTGGAAGGTTCAAGGCTTCCGATTGTCGTGGCTCTTCCAAAACCACCAGGGCTCCCCGGGCCGTCTGGTAGTGCCAGACCCATTCCACGAAATCCCAACAGGGAAGTTCATCCCTCCTCTGCGCTTGTAGTAGGGCTCGGTCTCGTCTCAGCCTCTGCCAGGCACTCCATGGTCCACATTTGGGAGAAAGTGTGATCACGTCCGGCTGCTGCGCCTCGATCATCTCCTTCAACAGCTGCTGATGGTCCTGTCTGGTGATGTCTAAACCGGTGATGATAATGTCTTGTGGAGGAAGAACCCTCCAGCCTCTCTTCCGGGCTAGGTTCCCCGCAAAAATCTCCAAAAGCACCCAACCATTCCCGGGTGGCGCTCCATCAGGCGGATCCCCCAGGGCCTCTTGGAACAAGGCATTGACCTCCTTAGCCCGCTGAAGGCCCCGAAGCACTGTCGTCCGTTGACCCCGGTTCAAAAGAGTCTCCACCGGGTCAATGGGACGAGAAGAGGGTTGCGGACGGTCCGGAACCACCGGCTCATAGGTCTCTGGGTCCTCGAAGTCCCCCACAAAGGATCCGCTCGCGCCGTCGGGCTCCACCATCAAGTTGTTGCTCGTGCCATCGGAGGACTCATTCATGTAGGTGCCTGCGGGCGTGGCCTCTTCCGTTGTGTCCATGAGATTCGGGTCACTCACTCCCGGTCCACATCCGCTAACCACCAGGTCTTGGGGTTGAAACACAACTGCCTGGCTGCTCCGAGATGACCCCAAAGGGCGGCAAGCTGACGGCCGTGAAGCGCCATCATCCAGCGGGGGTTGCGCTTCCACTTCAACGGCCGCCCGGACTGTCCTCGTTCCTTCTCGACCGCCTGCTTCACCCGGAGCATCAGCAGTAATGTCTTCCATTTGAACACTAACATCTGAGCTTGAAGACTGGCCATGATGTTGAAGGTCACATCCGCGGAGAACCGGCACGAGAGGGTTGGGAAGTTGGCCAAGTCTCCTGTCAGCGCGGCTTGTCTCTGAGCCTTCTGTGACGTGTTCTTCTTTTTCACGGAGGGCTCCCGCTGACTGCTGCTTCCCTTGCCCCGAGTCTTGGCTCCCCGCTGCTCTTCGAAGTCCTCCTCGTAGAGCTCGTCCGGCATCTGCGGATCTTGACCTTGCTTGTTCAACAGACCCTGTGCTGACATCATCTTCTGCGCCAGCTCCATGGCCATGTTCGCCACCATCTGAGGATCTGGGGTGGCTGGAGCGGATGAGGAAGAAGGTGTCGTCCGCCTCACCGCCATCCTCGGCTTGCCCACCTTGTTCATGAGGGGCTTCCTCGTCTTGGGTGAGGTCGATCGTCCGGCCGGCGCTTCCTCTTCTTCGGCCTCCATGCCCTCCTCGGCCTCCAGGCCGACTTCCTCCCATTGCGTGTCCGAAGAGATCTGGAAGGTCTCGGGCGGGGCCAAGGATTGTCGTCTTGACATCCTGGGGAGTGGCCTTCAGTGCTGAAGTGTCTCGATCCACTCTCTGCGACTCGGTCGACAAGACAATGATCTCGGCGTGTTCCGGCATCTCACAACTCTCGACCGGTTTCATGGTGTGATCGAACTGCGTCAATGGCATGATATAGTGTCCGCCCACTCCCGCTGGAGTTAAAGTTTGTTCCAATCCATATGGTCTCACCCGGAGTTTCTTGGACGAGATCATGTGTTGCTCGGTATCGATCATGAATCCGAGTCTTGAACAAACTGACTTGCTCAACAAGGGAGGGCAATTGCCGGACACCACCGAAATCCTCAACATACAGTGTAACGAAGCCAACGCCACTTCCACCACGATGCCATAATGACTCTTCGAAATGTGACCATCCCCAAAACGAAATGACTCTGATTCCTTCACCACCTTAATGAATCTGCCTTGACCTTCTAGTTCACGAACGAGTGCATTGACCCAAGTCGTACCAGCCACCGTTCTCATGCAACCCAGGTCAACAATGATTTTGCTTCCCAGTTCATCCATCGTCCAGTAAAGGTCATGAGGGGCAGCTTGAAGGGGTGGTTGGCCAGGTGGTTGCATGAGACCGGATTCCCTGTGCACCATGTATACTCGATGCTCTGCGGCTCTTGTCGGTCTCTGTGCATAGCTGGCGAGCAGCTCCCATTCATCGGCAGCCACCTGTTGTGGTTCTCGCCCCTGAAATGCCACATTAGCTGAGTATACCACATTGGACGCATGAATCGGAGTTTTCTTCCGAAGTGGGCATTCTTGAGACCAGTGTCCCAACTTGCCACACAAAAAACAAGGGTCAGTTTCTTGTTGTTTCTTGACCCACTGCTTCACATGCTCAGGCTGTTGGCTACCGGCCTTGTCCTTGGTGAAATACTGCCTCATCTTCCTGAGCTCCCTCACCTTGTTTCTAGCCTTGTACTCCTGGGCGTATATCTCAAGCAGTGGTGTCTCACCTGCCTCTGATGCACCAGAACTGGAATTACCGGTGCTGGAGTGATTCTCTAGGTTCTCTTCATCTTCCTCCAAGCTGTCCTCACCAGCCTCATTCAAGGCCGCAAAGATTTCTTCCGCCTCCTGGTTGTTGTCGTCGTCATCATCTCCTTCCATGATCGCCACCAGGGCCTCGCGAAACCTCTTCCGGTTCAGGAATCTCCGCCTCCTTGGCCCGCCTGAAGTCGGCGGAGGAGACATAGCCGGGTTTGACGACAAGGTAGAAGGCGACGCCCCACCCCCCTTTTGGACCAAGTACTTGTCCTCATTGTCCAACAACGCTTCACCGCGGCCAATCGGGAAGTGCGGCAAACCTTCGAGTTGCTCGGCCAAGTCCAGCAGCGCCAAAGTGACCGGCTCCTCGTGCTCCAAGCTTCCACCCGCGGCAGCCTTAATTAAAGCCAAGTCACGTTTCGTCAGCTTTGCTGCATCCAAAAGGTGTCCAACATAGAACTTGGAGCCGACCGTGTAATCGGGGGAGGACTGGTTCTCTCGGCGGTAGATCTCAGCTCGGTTGAGGAATGATTCAATGGACTCACCCGACAAGCGTCCCAAGCGCATGAACTTCTGGCGGCGCTTGTCAACCTTCTTCGTATCCAAGATCTTGATAATTGGGCTCTTTTCCATCGTCTGGCGGATGAGGTCGATGCCATGCTCGGCGGCCACCTCTTGCACAGTCAAATGCTGCACAATCTTGGCCGCTCGCTCCCGTAGCTGCTGCATCAGTCGAGGTCCTTGAACTTCAGGCGGAAGGGATTTCCCTTCCGATGCCAACCAAAACTCGACCGTCCGCCAGTACTCTTGCCATGATTCGCCTGGACGGGCATAGAAGATTGGAGGGTATGAGGAGGACAACTTACTGGAATGCCCGCCAGTTCCCCCTGTCCCTCCTCCATGTCCAGAGCCAGCACCTGAGCCTCCCGCAATGGATGGATGTCCACTCGGGATCAGGCCGGTCGGCCTGTTTGCTGCATCCTTCATTCGTGCTGTCGGTGCTGCTGAAATCGGTGACATGCCATGCACTCCACTCCCAAGCCCGTCACCGTCAGGAACCCCGGCATCAGTACCATGACCTTCTTCGGAATCGTCCCCATGACATTCACCTGAAGGTCCTTGATGAAGCTCAGCGGCAGGAGAAGACCTCGAGGTCGAAAAAGCAGGTCCATTAGCTCGGACATCGGGTTCAACACTGTTGGAGGATTGCCCCGACCAGTTGGTTCTATGTCCTGCACTCCACGACCAGGACGACCACCTGTCATCATCATCCCAATTTCCTCCGCTCCAAGGTGTTTGTCCCCCGGCGCTGATTCCCAATCGCGCCAACCCCGATGATCTGAGCTCCATGAACTCGCCGACCATGACCTGTCGCTCGCCCGGTCAGAGGAAGCATTGGAAGGAGCGTGCCACCCTGACTCGCTCTCTCCACTCATCTCTTCCCAGTTTTCCCATCTAGTCCATCCCACGAAGTTCAGCCGCGATCCGGTTTCCACAGGCGCTGACATGGCGGCTCGCTGATGATCACGTAGTAGATCTTCTTCATGTCCTGAGCTGGACTCTTCCGTCCTCGCCGCCGCCCAGGGATCAAAGGCAAACAGATGATCATCCTCTGGTGTCGATGCCGAACTCGTAGTCCTGGATGAAGTCCGCCCGGTGCCCTCGTCGAAGGTCACCGTCCGCCGCCGTGCAAAGGGAGCCGGCAGCTCCTCCGGCAGCGGCGCTTCCTCGCCCGCGCGCTCCATGGCCCTAGCTCCGGTGGACCAGGCTCAAGCCCGGTCAAAACCTACAGCCCCCTATCGGGGCTCCGCTACCACTAAAAGTGGACGACGCCACACACCTATTTTCCACCTTCGCTAGAGCCTGAACCAGGCTACGTCCGACAATAACAAGTGCCTTACTAGTGGTAACAAGTGCCTTACTAGTAGTAACAAGAAGCTACTAGTAACAAGT